TAAATATTGAAGGCTTCTAACAAGGATATGATATTCAGTTGGGTTGGAAAGAGGTGACCCAAAGTTAACAGAAAGGTGTAAAGATGTGGTCATAAGAGTTGGCATTGGTTTTCTTCTTCCATGTGAGCCTTTTTCAAATATCAGGAGTGTATTTTTTTATTAAGGAAGAGACCACGAGGGTGATGAATGACTTCAACACCTAGAGTGTTAGAGAGGTTTGCAAGGTCTTTAAGAGAGAATCAAGCAGAAAGTTGAGATATAAAAGTGTCAATAAGGTTTTCATTGGAATCAATGACAATGATATCATCGACATAGACAAAGAGATAGATGACATAATTATTGTGGCGAAGAATAAAAAAAAAAGAATCAGATATAACATTGACAAAATGAAGAGTGAGTAAATACATTTTGAGTTCTATGTACCATGCTGAGCAGCTTGTTTCAATCCATAGAGAGTTTTACGGAGCTTGCAAACATGATTAGGGCGGATTTTGTCAATGAAGCCAAGAGGTTAGGTTATATACACATCCTCCATAAGTGTATCTTGGACAAATGCATTATTGACGACGTCAAGTTGGCAAAGAGACCAACCTAAAGCGACAGTTAAAGAAAGAATGACTCTAATGGTGGAAGGTTTGATAACATGGCTAAAGGTTTCATTATAATCTATATTGGGACGTTGATGAAAACCTTTAGCCACTAAACAAAATTTATAGCATTCTATCGTTCCATCGGGGTTATATTTGGTTCGAAATACCCATTTACAACCAACAATATTTTGAGAGGGAGATGGGGGAACAAGATCCCAAGTATGATTGTGAATAAGTTCATACTACTAGACTTGCATGGAATTTTTCCAATGAACGGATTTAAAAGCTTACAAGATTGTAGTAGGTTCATTGGAGGCACTAGCAAGATGGATGGAGAGGATGTATTTAGGGTTTGATTTCTGAATGTTGTTTTGGAGACGAATGACTATTTGGCGAGATGATTGGGGAGGTGGAGTGGTATTAGAAGGAGAAGGAGGGGGCAAAGAGGGAGGAAGATGGGGTGGGGTTGAGGTTGACTTTGAGATGGTAGTTGAATCATGTGAAGTAGGAGAGACGACAGGGAGAGGCATAGTAGACCATGTATCAATGTTAGGAGGTGTGTGGTAGAAGTGAAATTGCTAAAAGAGAATGTTTGTTGAACAAACTTAACATGATGTGACACATATATTTTGTGGGTTTTGAGATCAAGACAGTAGTAGGCACTTTGGGTGGAAGAATACCCAACAAAGACACATGGTGTTGAGCGTTGATTAAATTTGTGTGAGGTATAAGGTCATAGCCATGGGTAACATAGGTTGCCAAAGCTATGTAATTTTGTGTAGTTTGGTGTAAAGCCGAAAATATGTGAAAAGGGAGATTGGTGTGCAAGAGTTGGAGTAGGTAGTTTATTTATAAGGTAAATGACAGTTGAGAATGCTAAAGACCAATATTTTAGGGGCATGGAGGCATGATGAAAAAGAAATATCCATGTTTCGACAAGATATCTATGTCAACCTCCGAATAACCATTATGTTGAGGTGTGTGGGGAGCGGATATGAGGTGAGTGATGTCATGTATAGCAAGAAAAGGGTTACGTTTTTCATATTCTTCCCCCTTGTCTGAGTAGAGCATGATGATAGGACAATTGAAATATTTTTCAACTAGTGCTTTAAAACGAATGAAAACATCTTTTTTGTCAGATTTATGTTTAAGGGGATAGAGCCATATATACTTAGAATAGTGATCAACAAAGATGATGCAATATATTAACCACCATAGGAGTAGATAGAAGGTGTCCATAAATCACTGTAAATAACATCTAATAGCCCATTAGAGCTAATAGTAGATTGAGAGGATGGAATTTTTTGACTTTTATTTCAATTACATGCATTGCAATTTGAAGGAGAACTTGGAATAGAAAGATTAAGCATAGAACTAATTTTCTTGAGAAGAGATAAGGACGGGTGTCCTAATATATGATGCTAGTCTAAGCTTCTAGATAGAGAAGTGGAGTTGATGGTTGGGCGAATGGGATGCCATTCATATATTCCAGATTTAGTTGGACCCCGAAGTAGTGTAGCTCCTGTTTGTATGTCCTTCGTAAGAAACGAATTAGGTAAGAACATGATGGAAGCATTATTATCATAACAAAATTGTGAGATGGAGTTTATGTTTCTAGACATAGAAGGAACAAGAAGAACATTATTTAAGTGAAAAGAATGAGAGGGTGTGAGAAGCGATGTGAAAAATGTTTGACATTAGAAGTCCGGAGCCATCACCAATGACTAGTTCGCCACTACCAATATAAGGAGCATGTAGGGAAAGTGTCTCTAGATTGTTGGTAACATGGTGCGAGGTACCACTATCAAGTAACCACCCATAGGTAAAAAACGGGGAACTCACAGTATAGGATCTAAGGTTGTGAAATGGTTGTTGATACCCTTTCAACACAGGTTTATGAGAGGATGAAACAGGTGGTACTGCTTGAGGAAATTGTTGGTGGAAAATGGAGCATTGGGTGATATAATGTCCTTGCTCTTTACACGATTGGCAACGGCCTTGGTACGTAGGGGTGAGGTTGCCTTGTTGAATAGTGGGGAGACCAAAGTGAGTGGTTGTTGGGTTTGGTAGTATTAGGGATGAAGGATTCATCATTAAAGGTCATTGAGATAAGATGAAAGGGTTATGTGATAGGAAGAACGGGATTAGAACAATTGGTCGATTAGGGCTGTGATACCATATAGAAATTGATGGAAAAAAAACTTGTCTATTACAAAATTGTTAACAAGTATTTATGCTTACAAGGAAATGAAAACACATATTTTAGATGATCACAAAAGTAGTTTGCATTGACAACTCTTGGGTAAACATTATGGTACATTTAATACAGTTTCGGTTTCCAACTATTCAACAAACATTAAGGTTTTTTTTTAATTTTGCTATGTTTTACGGTCGTTATGCTATAAATTTTTTTTACAACTAAATGTATTGTAAAAGGTGTATCAGTTGACTATGGTTTAGAAGTATGAGGATGATGTTGCTTCTTATCCACGTGGTGATGCAAACTTATGCATACACACTATGGGTGGACTTTGAAAAGGGAGGTTGTACGGCTTTGGTGCATCTTGAGATCATGCTACGTTATAAATAATTCAACCAGAAGTAGTTCAAGTACAAAAGGTAGATCATATGCTCAAGGTGCTTATGTAGATGGGGTATGTATATATATTTTTTCTCTACAATCCGGGTTTCATTACTCATTCACTGTATATGTGTAGTATTTTTGGGTACGACAACTAAAATAAGAAATTGAACGACAATGAGTAGTAATGGCAGCGAAGAAACAAGTGATGCAGGATTAACTTACTTCAAGGGAGCGTGTTAAGGGAGGCTATACGACTTTGGTGCATATCAGGATCCTAACTACATGATGAGTGGTTCACCGGGAGGAAGTTCGATTACAACAGGTAGATTGTATGCTCAAGAGTATATGCAGATGAGGAATGTATATTTATTTTTGGCTTTTCAACCCGACCTTAGATTTTATTGCTCATTTATTGTATGTGTTTTATATTTTTATGTATGACAATTGAAAGAAAAAATGAACGACAACGAGTAGAAATGGTAGCGAAGGATGAGCATACTACGAGGGTGCATGTTATGCATGCAAAGATTGTTGTGAGGAAAGCGTAGATGCAAGCACATGATGTCCCTTTTGATGAGATGACTATAACTATAGAGGCCATGATGCTTGACAAAATTTCCATTGCCCTTCCTCCTTCAACTCCCGATCCTACCCTTACTAGTTACATCGTTGTATTTAACAACTGAATTTGAATATGAGTTTTTAGGATACCAAATCGTTTTTTTTGTACAATAATTCTTTTAGGATTTTGTGGATGGAAACTGTTATTTCTATATACATGTTAAATATAAAGAAAATATGAAAATTATTTTATTTTTGTCAAAAAACCCAGATTTCCCACATTTCTAACAAACATACATCGGAAACCCAACCGTAATTTGTACGAACTATGTCGTCTGAAAATGTAGGTTGCCGGGAATCCGACGTCCAATAAGTAATTAGATACCACATTTTTGCGATGGATATAGTTGTCGCTAATCCACCGGAGATAAAAAAACTGACGTAAAACCATCAGTAAATGTAGGTAGGAAAACCATCAGTGCCTTGTCAATATTTCACGAACAAACATGTTATCTGGTAATACTTTAAACCCCTTCAGAAATACTTTAAACCTCTTCGAAATCTGATTATTTCATCATAATTTAGTGGCTCATTACAAACAGATTGCGCCTCTGGTAATACTTTGAACGCCTTCAGAAATGTTCTTTCGACCAAATTATTTTCGATGGGATGCTATCGTCGATACCATAGATAAGTGTAGTTTCTGATGGCCAACCGACGATTCCGTCATTGATATCCCTGTTTTCTGATAGTGATAACTTGTTCACAAATCGCACTATGTTTATGGCAAACTCTCATATATTATGTTAGGTGGTAATTCGACTTCTTTCCTTGACATATAGAGACTGATATTCTAAACTATTTATAACTGATATGAACTTCATTCTGGGTTAGTTGAATATTTAAAATGCCACAGATTTTGACTATCAATGAATCAACTATTATCCTTAATTAATCACAAGGGTAGCGTGTGATTGGTTTGTGTTTGACTCCAAATATCAAAAGTGTCTGAACGTCACAGATTTAAATCCAAGAAGGAGTAAAAATCCCCTTATAGCCATGGAGGTTTAAATGTACTGACTCCGGGCTACTGCAAAGCAGTGAGATTAGTCGGCTTGCATAGCATGTCGGATATTCAGGCTAATAAAAAAATAACTATTATCCTTAATTCAAAAGTAGATTAAGAATATTGATGAAAATAATATAATATCAACCTTAGAAATTCAATTAAGCTCCAAAATTTATGTTTGTGAATCATTTCTTCATCATTATATCCTTGGTGTATAAATATATCCACACCATGTCATACACTTAAAATCATTTGGTCTTCATACAAAGACAACTTCAACAAAAGAACCAAGAACAGTATTCCAATTTTTTATTCTTAATAGGGAAAATTATTGATGATAAAAATGCAACAACAACCAATATTTTACCACTACATTGGTAAAGAGGGAACAAACAGGAGAGTAATATACTCTTTAAGAGTCTTGCCTGGAAAAGTGAACCCATCGTCATACCTGTAAACAACATCAATCATTCGCGCAAGATTAAGAATCGGGGCAAGCAAATCCATGGAAACTTCTCTTGGCTTGAGACACCCCTCGTTTATATCCTTCCATGCGTTTTCAATCATATTCTTGAGCTCATTAATAGCATCTTTTTCCGACACACCAAACGTCTTGATATATGCATCAACTCCTGTGGCTGATTGTCCTCTTTCACGCTCAAACTTCATACAGAAACAAGGCATTGTTAGAATATATAACGTTTAAGTGGCATCTACCCTAAACTTAGCATTTTATGTTGTATTAAAAGACCAAGGCTATGCATTCTAAATAATTCAGGTTATAAGAACAAAAATGCCAACAATTGCTCTTTAATGCCATAGCGTATGGTGGATTTTGGAAACAACAATAGTAGGCACAACAAATGAAACCAATGCAGGGCCGGCCAAGAGGGTGGGCGAGCCGGGCTATGACCCAGGGCATCAAAGGCCAAGGGGTATCAATTTAAGTCCAGTAATATTATTACTAATAAAAAAATTCAAAATGGCAACTACAATACTTGAACTCTAAACATCAAACGTATATAAACACTTTCTTACCATTAAGCTATTAATATATTTTGATATTTTTTCCTCCTATTTTAATTTTATTAGTTTCTCGCTGATTCATTTTTTTCTTCCTTGCATTACTTTTTTCCGACTTTTGTCTTGTTTTCATGGAAACATTTATTTATCTGAAATAAAATTAATCATATTGAACAATTAATACTTTCTATATATTTTTGTTTTGAAAATAATGTGATAATATTTGTAAGTTTATTATTCCTTGTGCAAAACATTTTTTTATGTGTGGAATTAATAGAATCAAACTCTACATAAAACAATTTAGACCATTAGCTAATTTCAACTCGGAACCACAAATATCTTTTGTTATATTTTCTAAAATCAAACCATGTATGAAATAATTTAGATTACTATATAACTTCAACTATTTTTTTTTGTGATTTCCATAGTTATAAATATGAATCTCGAAGATTATTTCTTATTTTTTATTATATTTCTTGATTCGATGTTGAATCTTGTAATTCCAATTTTGTTGTCATCCATAATGTGGTTTGTTACCTAAGGCTATATATGGTTGTTTAAACTACATAACGTTCGCTACTCAAGGATGTACACGCATGGTATTAATTAAGTTTCTAAGTTTTAAGAAAAATTACATCTTTATATGGTCGTATACAATTAGTTTGAGCATAACTATCATTATATGCAAGTTTCTAAAGTTCAATTTAACTTGATATTATATAATCATAAGATATGCATTAGAAACCACAAGGGTGATGCCTGATTGGTTTGAACTTGGTCTCCAAAAGTCAAAAATGTCTGGAGCTCCCAGGTTCAAATCCAAGTAAGAATAAAAAAAATCCCTTTGTGGCCATAGATTTTCAAATGCGATTACTCTCCCGCAAAGCAGGTATCATCCTGGGATTAGTCATCTCGCATAACGAGTTGGATATCCAGGTTAATCAATAAAAGATATGCATTACAAAGAATAAATTATCATTTAATAACAATACCAAAAATTGGCTTAGGTATGAGATGCCTAGATTGATTAGTTTCCAAACCTTTTAAAAAACAGTATGTTTTATTTGTAGTTTTTAAATAATAACGATATTATTTTACCTTCTTATCGAGGACATAAAAAACCTCAAGACCGACCTTGAACCAACCCTACCATTTTTCTTATGAAATTCTAACATACGATCACTTATTAAATATACCCAATCATCTTATATCAATAGCTGTAGGAAACCCCTTATGCTCATCATCTTCCTGGTCCAATAATTAACTCTTTTTAATTATAATTAGTTAGAATATGTGTGTTACCAATTTTACCTGGTAAGTCATGACATCATCTTGGAGTCTTGAAATTAACTCTGCAGCTTGAAGAGTCCTTGGATGACTTTCGTACCAAGCCAAAGCATCTTTACTAACTACCTCGCCCATACCCACTAAAGCAGATTTTGAAATAACATTGTAGGCAGAAGTGACCAACCCATTCTTCATATATTCAGGAAACGATGCCACATATCCACTGTGTGTCCACTCAGCCTCTTCAAGGTAACCTCTAGCTATGTCTTGAAACTGATATCCATGGGGAAAAAACGGGAGATAAAAACAAATAAATTATGCACAGTTTAGCTTAAACCTGAATTGAGCACGAAGTAGAATGAAATCATACTGCTTGTTTTGATGCAATAACAGTATTTGCTCTTCCTTCTTTTGCTAGTTGTTTCTCAAGTTCAGCATATTCTTCGAGGAGAATTTTGAAGAATGGTCTAATATATTCCGGAAGTTGCTCCGATGCACCAATTTCCCACCTGGTAATATATATACGGGGTTAATATCCTGAAGTCATCGAGTACTAAGCAATAAGGTTTAAGCTAGTGGGGCATGTATTCTTGAACAGCAGACTTGCATGGTTATACCTATTTATGGCATCAGTTAGAAGGCGAATCTCCTCAATAGTGGCATATGCATCGTATGTGTCGTCTAGCACCACAAGAAACAATGTTATTTTGGTGGCGATGATTCGTGCCAAAGAGTAACGAGGCTCAAAGTATAATCCCAATATCCATAAGTAAATCTCTGGTACTCTATCTCTTATATATGGAGTGGTTTCTTGAAACCTCATATCTTTCCACCACCTGAAACAGAAGTATAAATAAGTTAAAGATATTCATTTTTACAAACATTGCACAACTGTCAACAAATACCAGCTTTCATGGAAGTTCCTCTTGCATTATTTGTGGCTTTCTTCTCATGTGAACCTATAAGTTATTTATTTTTGTGTTGATAATAACTTACTTTGAGACAATGCGAAGTTCTTCCTTTTGTTGTAGTTGCAAATAGTTGAAGTGTGTCTTTGCAAGTTTCAGTAGCGAGCCATGCATGGAACATTCTTCTTTGTAGTTGGAGAAATACAGCCTTGCCTCTACTATTGGCATCCCTTGATGGAAGGGTCTCCTCAACGATTGTTTCACCTGCTGTGCAAGGTTACCTTCCAGAGTGTTGACCATGCTTTTAAGTCGAGTCTCGGTGAAAACTGAGGCTTCATCCAAAATAGATTCTCCCCTTAATCTCAGTTGTGAAGATTCATATAAGCCTAACATACCCTTTACATCACTGGTGATGTATTCCTTGAATGTACCTGAGCTCGCGTCCTTGAATTTATTAAACACATCTGCATAATCATAGATAACAAAATGTACATGTCTTGTTAAATAACATTAACAAACAATAACAGTAGATCATGTTTTATATATTAACTGCCATCAGTGGCTAGATTTTGAAACCATGGTGCACTAGCAAGCTGCTACTTTCGTCTCATCATCTAGTTTGTTAGCTAATTGTTTCAGACACCGACTGTTTTTAACTTAGCAACTGTAAGCACTAGTTTTTTAGTCAGTCATATCCCCTTTACTCCACTTAACGAGGCTATAAACATCTTTTTGACTAAAAGAAATGCTAATAAAGTTTGCTAAGACTTGATGTTACTCTATATAAGTTGCTTAGATGTTCTCTATCACGTATGCAACTTTCAATGAAAGGAAAGACCCTCACCACAAGGCATTTTGTAACCAAGGTGTCGGAAAACTTGAAAGTTAACCGAAATCGTGTACAAATCAGCTTCATCATAATCTCGCAAGTTCAGCTCTTTGAAATGTTTGTCAAGTTGTGCTTCAATCTCATGCAGGAATAGATACGTCAAACCAAGACGGTGTACAGAATAAATCAAACTTAGTTTGGTATTTGAATCCATTCTCGGATCAATGATCAATCTTCTCAATTCTTCTTTTGGCACCTCCATGTCTTTGGCATATCGTTCCAATTCCTAGAAAAGAAAACAAGATGTTCTATTAAAATGAACATTACCATAACAACTGTTTCCTACAATTTTGTAGTCTGTACTTAATGGGAAATCTTACCGAATTGTCAAGAGAGAACGATAGAAACTGATCACCCCATACAGAAGGAGGGAAGTTGGCCAAAGGACGCACTGGCTCGGCGGTGGCTTTGGTGCTTGCTTGGAGGGTAGCATTAGCTTCTACTGCAGCCATTTCTAGAAGGTATATTGATTGCTTGAAGGTTGATTGCTTGAAGGTGTGCATTACCACAGTGGTTACGGGCATTTTATAGGCCATACACTGATACACACTCGTCCAAGTTGGTGTGTTCTCATGGATGTCTAGATGGTAATTGGAGTTCACGTGTTCGAAAGTCAAGATGGTGGCACAGTTAAAGTTTAGTTTATTATTTTGAAAGTATGGCTAGCATTTTTTTTCTTATTTAATTATTTTATTTAGACGTACCATTTACTTAAGAAAATCATTTTATTATTTATTATAATATATTTAAATACTTTGGAAAACAGATAGACCTCTTTAATCACAAACACTACTCAATGAAAGACTTTACTCACCAACGTTTGGTTAAGGATGATTTGTCGTAGAATCGTTAGAAAAGTTGTTGGTAAATTGTTGGCGGAAAACTCAAAATCTGTGACAGATTACCAAGGATTTCCTTGTTGATCTGTTGGTATTTTCTTGAAAAACATCAAATTTTTCTGAACCATTGGTATTTTCTAGTTGATCCATGGATGATCACCGAAAGAAATTTCTCTAGATGATTTTGTGAGTAAAAATCTATTTATTTTGTAGTGAACTCTGATTCCACAAGTACACTGTATATAAGAAATTATTTTTTTATCATTTGATGCATATATAAAAATAAAATTACTAAAAGTTTAATAATCTTTGGGAACGAAATTTCATTATACTGATAATCTAATTACTAAAAAATCGAATACTCTACTATGAAAATTCTAAAAGATTTATCGTAATACTTGAAAATTTTGTGAAACAAAATGACTACAAATTTCGTTACATGTTTTCAACTATCTTTGTAAGTACAAATGACATAATTGAACGTTGTGTGTTTATGTATGATGTATATAATATATAGATGGGGTTCAAAGATGAACACCTATATTTTACAGAAATGCAAGAAAAATTCTGGATCTCAAAATTATTTAAGCTACAATTATAATTATAATAAAAGAAAATAAATCATTAAGGGTACTAATATAATACCTATAGGATTAATGTTAATCCTATCGGTATTTTGGGAATATCCAATTTTAGGTTTTATGGGACTTCCATATAATGATGTTAATCTTGTGTACGGTTTTTGTGTTGATGGCTCCGTTGTTGATAATGATGTAATTTTTGTGATAATAATATGATAATGTTGTAATATCTTAAGATGTGATTCTGCTTTAATAATGATGTAATTTTACTATGATAACGATGTGATAAATGATAATGTTGTGATAAATTGAAGAGTTCACATGTAGATGCCTCCATCTTCTCTATCGACTTTGATTTTGCACTACTTGAATGTTGTTTGATGGCCGTTTTGCTCTTTTGAATGTTGGTGAATGGCGGCGCTACGGTCCACGATCTTGTAAAACTAGCGGTTCAAGTGATTATCACGTCCACGATCATTTACTATGTTTGTTCATTATGTGATTGTACAATTCTTTTTCCATTTTACATACCATTGCATGTCATCGATATTCCTAGAAAAAGGTAAATATTTATTTAATATTTAACTACTCCTCAATTTCTCTAAAACATGTGTTCTTGTATGAACTCTTATGTTGGGTTCGAATTAGAACAGTGACCAAGTAAGAAAACACAAAAACAATCGAATCAATATGATTTCACACTACAATCATGTGTACAATTAACATGTTATTCTACACAATTTCAGCCTTGACTTAAGTCTCGTGGTAAGTCACTCACATACCGATGCGTTGAATGTGTTTTATAACCGCATGTGTTTTTCAATACAAAATCATATTTGATTTGACTTTTTTTCTTTGTTTACTTAACTATTCGACTATGGTATCTATATATATATATATATATATATATATATATATATATATATATAAAGCAGAATCATGATACGTTGACGTGACATCTTCTCAACGCAAATATCATATTTTCGTCTTTTTTCCACATTTTGACTTTTTTCTTAGCAATTTTGCAAATTAATGTTCACATTTAACTCAAAAACTCTTCCCTTTCTCTTGGTACGTTTCAACTTCAATCTTTAAATCCCTCAATCTTTGGTTTTTTCTTAGTAATTTTGCAAATTAATGTTCACATTTAACTCAAAAACTCTTCCATTTCTCTTGGAACGTTTCAACTTCAATATTTAAACC